CCTTCCAGCAGTACCCCACGGCCACCCCCTGCCTCCCTCCTCCATGGGTACACTGCCTCATCTGCCCTGGCCAGGCTCCTTCCCGGAGCACATGGTCAAGGTCCATCCCTCCACGTCTGCTCTTGGCATGTTCACCTGGAGATTCCCCAGGTGTCGGGATCAAACCCTTCCAGAGCTCCATCAGCTGCCCAAGAGGCCCTGGTGCCTCTACTCCTTTAAGCCAACTTCTTAGCTATGTAACAGAGCCTTTTCCTTTTACCCTTCTGGCACAGGTTTTTGGGTACAAACGTGGCCCTCACCCCTCTTCTTCCCAGCATCACTCTGCAGGTCGCAGCACTGCTCACCACCAAGCAGGATGCCTTATTCTCTCACCAGAGCTATAGCACTTAGTTTAGAGGGTTTTACTGTACTTCCATGACATATAAATACCTTTGGTCTACAGGAGAGAGATTTCCCCAGCAGGAATCTGCTATGCCTTTATGTAGCTATAAATTAGGTCTCCAGAGCAAGATATTTTTTAGGGAAATGAGGTCCATTACCCTGGCTCTGCTACTTAAAAGATGCAACAGTTTACACTAGAGGATAAAAAGCCAGCTATGTTGTAAGTGAGTATTTAGGCAAAAGGAATAAGCAATGCAGGATTTAGCCCAAAACTGTTCCCCAAAACAGAGGTGGTGTGGAGGCAGCGGGACTGGTGTAAGGACAAGGACAAGGCTCGTGGCTGGGAAAGTGGATGGGCAGCAGCGGTGAGGTGGGATGGATGCAATGGGAAGGAGTTGTTTTGTTGACAAATCAGGTGGACATCACGCGTGAAACTCAAAGCCATGGCTTAGCAAGATCCAACTTCTCACTTTCAGGTCTAGGACAACACTAGGACATCTCCAAAGCTGCCATGAGACACTGTGAATTTTTAGGTTTCTAACAAGAGAGAGCTTTATCTGGGGACCAGGGGAGTTATTCCAGCTTTCCCTACATGGGGATTATACCCCAAACATCTACTGACTGCCGATGCACCGGCTTTCTGCCCTTCTCTGAAGCTCTCCTCATGCAACGCCAGCATCAGAAGATCAGCCAGCACCGCCTGAGTGCAATTCTAGAGTTACAAAGATCCCATCTGTCACACTTTTAAATAATTGGCTGATCGTTATGAATTCATTTGGTATTCATTGTGATAATGTTAATCAAGACGAATTAATAGAGTCCTCATACTGTACGCGCTCCCTGGGGAATTCCACCACCATTTAGAAATTAATTAATGGACCTATAATTTTAGTGGTGCTGCCCATGCAATCACCGTTAACGGTAGGCATGAAGCAGGTACCCGATCACAGGACGTCAGCGCAGGCTACAGAGTTAAAGCATTACTGGTGAAGTTCCCCTCCCTACAGCCATTGGCTGAGATGTTCTAGGGGTCTGAAAGGAAAAGTGGGTCTCCAGCTGCCGGTGCAAGGCTCCAGAGGCAACGCCAGGGTAATGGGATGCTCCACATCTATCTACACCTGCATTTCTCTCCTGAGAAGCAAGTGCTGCTGCTGAACACACAGGAGACTTCTTGGCTTCTTTTTAGTCACCCGAGTCTCCCAGGGCTGGAGATTAGACTTTCCTCCCTCCGTTTCCTCCTCCTGCCACACATCTCCTGCGGGATCCAGCACGCTCCATGGTTCTGCCCATCTGCAAAGCAGCCAGGGCAATGCCAGCCCCTCGCACATGAAGCACCGTGCCTGCACTGTATCGCTCATCTTTAGAGGCATTTTCTGAATGTCTCAATCTCTCCATTTAAGCCTAGAGGTTTTTCTCTTTCCCCCCAAGCTGGAAATGATGCAAACAGGACGAGACAGACAGGAGAGAGGAAAGGGCAGAGGATGAGGAGTTGGGAGACCTTGCAACCGCTCTGTGGTGATGCTCCAAGGAGCAGCTTTTCTTTGTCACAGAGAAACCCTCTATCAAACGTGTATTGTTTTGGGTGAGTGTGGGGAAGGGGCCATGAGCACCCCAAGCTCTGCCTGGTGGTGTTCCTTGGAAGTTCCAGCTGTGCATTGTGTTTCTATCAAAAGCAACACATTATCATCTCTTCCACTCCTTCCAACCACATGCTCTCTCCAACTAGGTTTCTGCCTACAGCCGCTTCTGGCAGAGCCGCTGCCTCCTGTGCAACCCAGCCTTGCTTGGGCCAGAAAGCTTCGTTTCCGAGCACCGAAGGTGTTACCGTAAGTCGGCAGATGAATCAGCATGTAAATCACCCCAATGCGCTAACAAGCACCCCAACGGCGAGGTTTTTGGTATCTTTCCATCTGTCGCTAAATTCCCAACACTTTTACCCTTAAACAGTTTTACAAATCCTGATGCCATTACAACAAATATTCAAAGGTAATTATAAAATTATAATTACCAAATAACTATATATGTATTATATTTTATATATTTAGCAATATTAGTGTGTATATATATATAGGGCTAGCCCGTTATATAACCAAACAAAGTCTAACCTCAAAAGTAATTACCGACAAAGTCTAACCCAGCAATAGCTTTTGCTTATGACTTACAGGCAGACACCTAGGCTTCCAAATGCGCAACGGGTACCCTTCTCAGCCCCAACCCTGCGTAGCTTTTGCTGTGCCTTACAGGCAGGCTTTTCAACTGCAAAATACTCGGAGGTAGCTACCGACAAAGTCCAACCCAGCAATAGCTTTCGCTTATGACTTACAGGCAGACACCTAGGCTTCCAACTGCAAAACGGGTACCCTTTTAGCCCCAATCTTACAGGCAGGCAGGCTTTTTCAACTGCAAAATATTTGCCTTACAGGCAGGCTTTTCAACTGCAAAATACTCGGAGGTAGCTACCGACAAAGTCCAACCCAGCAATAGCTTTCGCTTATGACTTACAGGCAGACACCTAGGCTTCCAACTGCAAAACGGGTACCCTTTTAGCCCCAATCTTACAGGCAGGCAGGCTTTTTCAACTGCAAAATATTCAAGTTTTGAAAGAATGCCTTAATACTTACAAAACAGTGTTCTTTGCTCAGGGGCTCTTTGGTCCGGGGATCAGAAGGAATCCTCTCTGAGAATCCCTCGGTGCCGGCTGAGGTTCTGCGATCCCAGGATCTGTCAAGGCTCAAGAGCAGTGTCCCGTCTGGGTCGCCAAAATCTGTTACCGTAAGTCGGCAGATGAAGAACTCTCTAAGACTCAGTTGGAGTTTTAGAAAGCAGGCATTCTTTATTGCGGCACCGGGTGCTAGGTGGAATTTCCACAAATCAAGCACACCTATGTTGAGATCACCGTTACAGTTATACACAAAAATTACAAGGTAGTACACTCCCAGTTACAATGATTGGTTAGTGATTTACATATAATTATAATATCTGTTGTGTCATTCTCTTCTGTTACTACGCTTGCGCAGGGGAAGGGTCTTCACCTGGGCAAGGGTCTTCTTGACCTGTGGGTGTGTTTTTCAGTATTATAATGAAGGCAGTTCACTTCAGGACACCTCAAAACGTAACGCTACATAGAGGCTAACTTCTTAAGTCAAGATGTTCTTATCGTTGCTTATTTCACAAACAAACACAAAATATAGAAAGATTCAGTAAAACTTCAGATAATCTTCAACAAAGGGTTAAGCTCTGCAGGGCCGGGGAGGTCCCCTGGGTGCCCTCACCTCCCAGCCCGCTGCAATCCCCCCACACCTCGAGCAGAGACGGCTTAGACATCTGAAGACTCTGAGCGTCGTGGGTCCTTAGGTAACCCCGTAAATTGAGCGTGGCAGGGTCTGCTCAACACTCAACGCAGCTCCGGTGCTGCCCTATTTAATCAATGCTCCAGACAAGACTAAGTGCTCTTCAAAGAGACCCGGGCTGAACCGCTGCTCAACGCAACCAGAGCGACTCGGCAGAGGGATGGGTTTATTGGCTGGTCAGGGAGGCAAGTGTGGCTCTGAAAATGTAAGGGGAGAAGGCAGCAGAGAACTGAGCAGCACCACGGGGTCATTTTCACATCGTGTCTGGTAAAAGCCTGTTCTGCCAGGAGTTTAAAACAGACGCAGTCAGCATTTAAAAAGAGCATTTAGAAGAGGCACTGCCAGGGAGTTTTAGATCCTAAATTTAAATTCCAGTAAGGGGAGAGAGATCTTTTACGAGCCTGAATTTCTTTCTTCTTCCCAACGAGAAAAAAAAGCCAGTACTGCTACTGCTAGGGAATGCTACTGAGTTAGAGCAGCCGGAGCTCGGCGCTGGTGCCCAAGCAGCAGACTCCGACGAGAAGGACGATAATTCACTGAGTCTCCCTGCCCGTCCTGAGCGAGGTGTGCACTACAAACAGCGCGCAGCTGGGACACGCGCAGGAGCCTCTCACCTCCCCGGCAGCACGGTGATTAGTAACCAGCGAATTAAACGTGATCTTTACCTTGCCAATGTCCCCTAATCAGCTCCAGTTCTCCAGGATGCGACATCCCGTGTTGCACGGAGAAAGAAGGGCCAGGCCAGGTGGCAGCATTTGTCACCCGAAATGCACTCAGCCCCGACAGCTTTCGCACCTCTGTTTGATGGGGCTCTGCAGGGAAAGGGAAGAGCTCGGTCTATTTGCCATCGCTGCTCCCAACATGCGGCAGCCGGTGCGAAATGGGGAGTGCAAGTTCCAGGGCAGCAAATGACCTCGCGAGCGCTGTCTGCTTTCATTGCCCCCCTGCTCCCCGGTGCTGTGCTTGGTGCCTCTGGGCGCTGGCTCATTTACTAATGCGCAACCATCCATCATTGGGGTACCATTCTGGGGCTTAGCGCTGTTTTAGAGCCCATAAGGGGCCCCGGCTGTGGCGCAAAAGCAAAATATAAATGAGACACACACGTTTTTGGCACCCCGGCGCCCGCAGTCCTTGGCAAGGCTCATGCTGGCTCTGGTGCACATGGTGCTGCCAGGTTGCCAACAGGCAGGAGCCTGCTGGAAGCCTCCTAACAAAGGAAAGGTACCTGCAGCACCCATGGGTGCTCGGGCCAGGCTCTCTCTGACTTACCTTCTCGCTTCATCCCCATCGCAAGACACTTCTGATAGCGGCAGTACTGGCAGCGGTTGCGCTGGCGCTTGTCGCTGGCGCTTGTCGATCAAGCAGTCCTTGTTGTCGCGGCAGGTGTAGGTGAGGTCTTTCCGCACCGTGCGCTTGAAGAAGCCTTTGCAGCCCTCACAGCTGTAAACCCCGTAATGTTTACCTGAGGAGGGATGCAACTCGGGTTAAAAGGACTCACTGAGTGTCCCAGGTTCCCCTAGCTCCACCCTTTGCTCTCCCTCCCCACAAAGACCATCAGCTCCTCCCAGGGCCTCTCCCAGCCGTGTCTGGGGGAAGCAGAGGTTTCTCGGAGCTGTGAGCAGGAGCTAAAGAGCAGTGGCTTTGCCTTGACTTGACTTCCATAAAATCAGGATGCCCTCCATGGGCTACAACCTGACTTTTATTACCATTGCTTAGCCATACATCAGGGGAGAGGCAGCACAGCAGTGAAACAGGGGGTGCCCCCTGTACCCCCCGTGACCCATCCGGACTCCCCACGCTGGACACACGACCCAGCCTGTTCTGCACCACGTGCCCACCCTCCTCTTCCAGCCTAGAGCCCGACAGGCGCAGGAGGTGTCCCTAAGGACCTCACAAACTAGGCGACCAGAGCACTTATGGAGCAAAAAGCTTTTAAAACAGCATGAGAATAAAGGGAGCACATCTTTATCTCCCATGAGCGGAGAGACTCCATGAAGCTCATCTTTTTATCTGGCGCTATGTGACAATACCACTACGGATCAAAGGATGGGTAGAGAGAACGACACTCACTAATACCTTGTCTTCAGACGGGCTGCGCTGCTCAGGGCTGAGGCTGTAACACCGCTGCTAAGCAGAGACCTGGGGTCCCCTGGCTCAGGTCAGAGCCTGCCCCAGACCAGACGGGCTGGGGGAGGCTGGTCAATAAGGGACTTTTCACCCCCTCCTCTGAGGGCACGGGCGGCTCCTCTCCCAGTGGAGAGTCCCCGCCTGTGCTCGCTGCGCTGTAGGGACCCGGGTGTTACCGTAAGTCGGCAGATGATGAACTCTCTAAGACTCAATTTGGAGTTTTGGAAAGCAGGCATTCTTTAGCGCGGCGCCGGGTGCAAGGTGGAATTTCCACAAATCAAGCACACCTATGCCGAGATCACCGTTACGTTTATACACAAGAATTACAGGGTAGTACACTCCCAGTTACAATGATTGGTTAGTGATTTACATACAATTATAGTATCGGTTGTGTCATTCTCTTCTGTTACTACGCTTGCGCAGGGGAAGGGTCTTCACCTGGGCAAGGGTCGTCTTGACCTGTGGGTATGTCTTTTAATATTATAATGAAGGCAGTTCACTTCAGGATACCTTAAAAGTAGGTTTTGTTGCCAAGTTGGCCAGATACACATCTACCTTGCCAGGTTGTCAAATAACTCATCCCATATACAATAGAACCCAGGTGCTCTGGTTATGGTCTAGAGGGTCCAGAGAATAGGGACTTCAAGCAACACAGCCTCGGCTAACAAGTAACACAGCAACCCGTACGTAACGCTAACATAGAGGCTAACTTCTTAAATCAAGATGTTCTTATAGTTGCTTATTTCACAAATAAACACACGAAATATAAAAAGATTCAGTAAAACTTAAGATAATCTTCAACACGGGGAGCCATGCAAACCCTCACCACGCTCTCCCAGGGCATCCCCACGCCGCTGTGAGCCCCTCCCCGGGCAGGCGCCAGCCTTACCTGAAGATCTGTCCCCGCAGATGGCACATATGTGCTTGGTGAAGGAGGCCATCGTTCCTGAGGGATGTGCTGGCACTTTGAGGACTCCATTGAGCCCCAGGGGTGGCTTAATGTCCTCTGAGCTGCTGACGGGGTTCATGGGCGAGTTGAGCTGTTGAGACAGAAGCACAGTGCTCAGCGAGGAGCCGGGGTGTGCAGGGCTGAGCCAGCTCCACAGCAGGGTTTGCCCATGCACTCAGACATGGGGCAGGGGAGTCAAGCAGGGGACAAGCTTCCAATGGGGACATGCACCGCTTAAAACACCCGCCCACAAAGCTGAACCACGAAGAGGATTTGGGCACGTGTGTCCAGTGACCAAAGGCACAAGCGCTCATCTGCTGCCCTGGCATAAAAGCCGGTGTGGCGCTGAGCTGGCAGCAGGATGCCACCAGGTCTCGCTGATGGCACCGGGTCAGAAGGAGCAAGGACACAGCCGGTCCCCCGTGCACCACCAGGAGCCACGCAGGGCTGACACCGCCTGCCCCACGAAGGACGCTCCTGCATGATTTAAGGGGAAGGCGAGTTCCTCCCGCACTGCCAGACCCCCGCCCACAGCACAGCCATGGCACAGCCACGGCAAAGCCCCCATGGCCAGGCGCTCGCAAGACACCCCGGCTTCACGCCGCCTCGGGATGCAGAGCAGGGAAGATGATTTGCAGCGACGGTTCGTGGGAGAGCTGCTGGCTGGGAGCGAGTGCTTGCACGGATGATGAAGGCCAGGACACTCGCGCTTTAGCTCTGCAATTTATAGACATCCTTTTAGCATTATCTCTCCAAAGGAAAGCTTCACAGCAAATAAATAGATCCCAGATGCAACAGGGCCTGGCTTTCCAGAGCTGGCTTGGGTGGGACACTTCTCTGCAACTTCCAGCCTTCCAGCAGCCTGTCCACACGCCTCTCCTTCCCTCCCTGGTGAGCTCGGTCCCCAACAGTCGGTGAAGAAAGCGGAGAATTGGGTGGAAGCTGGGTGCTGGCATAGCCCCATGGCACTGGTATGGAGTGAAGGATTCCTGAGTTGATTCACACATCGCACTGTGCAGCAGGGCAGGGCTGTTATTCCCTCATGTACAGAGAGAAACTGAGGCATGGAGATGTAGGACCGACCCGTCTTGATAAGGGAGACAAGCTCACAGCAACCCTGCCCAGCCCCAGGCAGGTTCAAGGAGGTCCGAGGGTGGATGGGGGAGCCAGGCTCGGTCAGCTCAGGACGCAGCGCTTGGCCAGGACTGCTGCGGCTGTCCTCCTGGGGACCAGCCTGCCAGGGACTGTTGCAGAGCCTCCGTCCCTGCCAACATCTAAATCCAGGTTGGATACGCAGGATTTGTGCTTCAGTTTGTTGTGTTTCTCTACCCTAATAGAGGTACTCAGCAATCGCACCTACCACAAATTAATTCAGGGCAGTCCCAGGGCTTGTGATCTGTCAATTAGAGCAGCGCAGCCGTTCCTCTGGCTTTAAAGTCTCCAGGCTGGTGGGGAACATTTGGCAGGCAGATGACTAATAATCGCAGACCAGCGCAAGGTAAACCCACCTTGGACAAAAGTGATGGGTCTGCCTTCCTCTCCCACCCTGCCTGTGCCAGCTGATGAATCAAAGGCAGCCGGGACCCGGTGCCACCGAGGGATACGCTCCTGAGCTTTAGCTGCTGTTCGGTTATGTTGCAATAGGGCAGAGAGGGGAGGGACGAGCGGGTCCCCAGGTAGGAGCATCTCTCTTTGGGATCTGTGGGTCCCCAGGCACTGACCCTGTCCCTGTGCTACCCTGTGAGCAGGGGCTGCCGGCACTGCGGTGGCACATCCCTCCATGGCTTCGGGGTCACCAGCTCCAGCAATTCCTCCCAGTGCACTTTCTGGGAAACGGAGCCATCTCCCAGGTGCAGCTGGTGGCTATGGCTCGTGTCGCGCTGCGTCACCGGCCGCTGCCACATGGGAGTGAGGGCAGAGGCCGTTGGCTGCCTGCTGAAGATAAGC